CACATGTATTTCCTTCAAGAACTTTTCCTTTGCATGTGTAACTTGGCTGTTTGGTGCAAGATACCTAGTTTTCAGCCTGCCTTGGCTTTCTGCATGCCTTCCTCACTAAGCTTTCAATTTAAAGTGAGAGGCTCTTCCTTTCACTTGAGCACTTAGAGGCCATTATAGGGTTATTCACTGACCTCATTTTAATATCATGTGTCTCAAGGAATAGGGAGGCCTGAGGAGAGTGAGAGAGACAGGGAAACAGCCCATCAGCAGAGCAGATAGAACATACATATTTATCAATTAAATCTGCCATCTTATATGGGTAAGGTTCATGTGCCCTGAAAGAATTACAATAGTAACATTAGAGATCACTGATCACAGATCACCATAAAAATTATGATAGTAATGATTTGAAGTATTGCAAGAATTTCCAAAATGTGACACAGAGACAAAATGTGACAAGGAAGTGAGCAAAGGCTGTTAGAAAAACAGCGCCAATAGACTTGCTTGTTAGAGTTGCCACAAACCTTCAATTTGTAAAAAAATACAATATTTGTGAAGTACAATAAAGTGAAACACAATAATATGAGGTGCCCCTGTGCAAGGTAAATTACTCTTTTCAACCATGATCATCACCTTTATCATGGTTACTTCCATCTTAAAATGTTATGAAGAAAAGGACAGCACAGTAATATTTCCAGTTTTGCAGGTAATAATAAATAGCTAAGTTGATAGGAATAGACTATAGGAAGTGGGAAGAGAACAGGCAAGTGAATATTCAGGAGAGCACAGTAAAATATTGGAGGGGAGGGGCCAAAGTTTTCTTCACATATAAATACTAGGGAAGACCTAGAAAATGGGAGGAGCCAATGGAGAGGGCTCCAGGAGAAAAGAGCCACAAGAACAAATGCCTTGGGGACACTTTGCAGTGGTAGAATGCTGGATTCAGTGAATCTCATCTGGCTGGAAAGTCTTGGGCTTTGTTTTGAAGTGGGCCTTCACTCTCCCACTGCTTCTCATCCTTTCTAAATTTCTGTTTGACTCCTCTAATTTCTCTTATGGCTGTGACTTTAGAGTAGACAATTGTCAGAACAGAAATACTGCCAGTGTATCTCTCTAAGAGGTCATTGTATCCTACCATTCCAAATAATTCAGGAGAGCTAGGGAGACAGAGGGCCCTGGAGCCCAGAGGGGAACTGAGTGGGCCAGGAGCTGAGAAGGAGCTAATTGAGTTGAAGGAGAAAACAAAATAGGTTGATTGAAAGCTAAATGCTCTGTGGGTACCCTGTGTTCTCCCTTTCATTCATTTGGCTCAGACCTGAGTTTCTGCTTTGAGCAAATTCCTCCAGGTTTCTTTTCCAAATGGCTTTAAATGGCCAAATCAGTTCTCCAGTGCAGGATTTTCTTTTCATGGTCTTGTTTCTGTATTAGCAAATGAGTCTGTGTCTGATATTGTGAGATAAGCCAGAGAAAAACGTCTGGGTCTGGGGGTTATCGTGAAGCTTTTCATGCCAGAGGGTTTACTTTGAAGGGTGGTGAGGACTTGAGCAGACTGGGAGGAAGGAGACGGGCATTTCAGGGCTAGTGGACCAGGGAAGGAAGCTGGAGAGGGCAGAGCCAACTCTCCAGGTCAGTGAGTAAACAGGCTGACTGGGTCATGTACCAGAAGAGCATGCCTTTTGGCTGGAAAGCTAGGTTTGTTTATTAGCAGTAAGTAAGCTTCAGGTTTGAAAATGTTTTCTCCTTAAAACAAAAAGAAGCCCCTGCTCTGTGTCAGCCCTGTACCCAAGAGAGAAAGTGGCGAGGAGGAACCCAATGAAAAACATTCCTTGAGGAACCAAGAAACATTTAGGAAAGAAAAGAAACTCCAGAAAACAATAGAAATACACAAATAAAACTATTTCAAGGGGCTGACATTAGTGCTTAGAGAGACTAGGAAGAGAGGGTCAGACAGCGAGGAAAGAACATTTAGATCCAGGAGGGCAGCCTTAGGAGTCAGGCTGTGGTATTGAGTAGCCCCCTTGAAATCTGCATTCTTCAGGCTTCAGAACAGACGTGGGACCTTGAGGTCATCGCTGTCAAGGTGATGAGAGTAGACAGGGGCAGGGAAGTGGGAGGAAAGACTACAGAAGCCCTGGATATAGAATCCTGGACATACTCACATTTGGTTTAGATTCAAATTGCCAAGATCCCAGACCTCTGAGCTTCACTCTCCCAGCTGAAGCATCTCAGCTTTACTCTGCTGCTCCTCACCAGGACCCTCAACACCTTCCTTTTCACTGCACAGGTTCTTGGCTTGGGGCCTCTCTGAGATCTTTCTGCATAGACTCTGTTTCATGGAAACAAAACAAAAACCAAGATTGAAAGAAATGCAATCTCTTATCCCTTAATGCTGGTTGTCTTGGTTTTATTCTAATATCTCTTTGTAGGCAAGGAAATGGACTAAAATTTTTGTTTAGGCTATTTTTAGTATATTACCTGATAAAGGACTATATAGTACATATTAAGAACTACTACAAATCTATAACCAAAAGATAATTAACCTAGGTTTTGTAAAATTCAGAAGGCTTAGAAATACTTTGCCAAAGACTTAAAAGATGCCTTACAAAAGTAGATATAAATGATCAATAAGCATGTAAAATGGGCTTACCATCATTAGTCATTCTAAAACCACAGTGCAATATCACTTCACACCCCCTGGGATGACTAAATTTAAAAAGATTGATAACATCAAATGATGATGAAGATGTAGAGCAACTAGAATTTTCATACATTCCTATCAGAATATAAAATTGCTATTTGGAATGTTCAACATACACCTGCCTTATGACCCTACAATTACACTTCTGGGAAACATCTTGAGAAATGAAAACTGTGTCTACAGAAAGACTTGTATAAGAACTTCCATATTAGCCATATTCATAATAGCCAAACACTGGAAGCAACCCAAAAGTTCATCAGCTGGAGAATGGATAAAAATATCTTTTTGGCATATCTATACAATGGAATACAACTCAGCACAGCAAGGAATAAACTGGTACTCATAACCACATGGATAAATTGGAACACAGCATGCTGAATCCAGGAAGTCAGACAGAAAAGAGTACATACTGTATGATTCTGTTTGTTTCAAATCCAAGAATAGGCTAAGCTACAGCTGTGACGATAGAAATCAGAAAGTGGCACCTGCGGTATAGGAGTGGGGGAGGCAGGAACTGACTGGAAAGGGGCACAAGTAGACATCCTAGGGTGATGGGGAAGGTTCAGATTTGGTTTTCATGAAGGCTTCTTGAATGTATAAAATTGCCAAAACTCCTAGAACTGGATGCTTTAACTATGTATATTTTACTGTATATAAATTATACTTCAATTTTTTAGAGAATGAAGTACTTTTCAGAGCTGGGATAAAACAACAACCTGTTTTGGCTGCCAACCTTCTGGTTCCCAGATCCTCAAGGACTCCTCACAATAAGTAGATACTAAACTTTCCTGCTGAGATCAATGGATCTTAGTTGACCCGAAAAGATACGGGGTCATGAGAAGGGAACACAGGACAATGAAGGTAGTATTTTTACAGTACCCTCATCTCTGCTTCAAAGACAGCAACTATACTTTCCATGAAAAACAGTCTTACTCTTAGACAAAAAATGGAACCCTGTGCCCAGAGAGCAGCCTCCTGGTGCCTTTCCCGTCCCAGTCTGTATGGCCTCAGAACGAGATTTAAAAACACCATCTCCCAGCTGCTTTGAGCTGGTCATCTCCTTTTCTTTGTCTCCTGATACTCCTGGAACAAGTGTTTGGAAACTGGGAAGGTTATGCTACATGTCAGCTGGGATGAGAAGTAGCATATGAAAGTCACTAAGCTGGGGCTCTGGGCTATGTGTGCTGTCTGTGCCATACTGCAACTATTTGATCTAGGGTGAGGCTCTCATTTCCTCTTCTCAGGAAAGGTGACAGTCCTTGTGCCATGGCCTTCATAGGGCTGTGGTGGGGCCAGCATGAGATAATGGACCTGAAAGCCATGTTAGTAAAATTTTCATTTTGATTTCTCATCAGGTGGAATTATCCAGTTCACCACTTCTGAATTCCTGCTCTGTGAATGATTGCAGCAATTAAAAAGGAAGTGTGGGATTCAGTCTCTCTTTAAGGTTACATATTTGAGAGTAGACATGGGGAAGTCCTATGAATGAAGGTATAGAGCAACAAAAAATTAGCAAATTCATGTCAGGCTGGTTTCCATTCATTACATGCTGCAGTCTGCAGTTCAGTTGTTGTGCCTTTCAGTACAGTATAGTCTGCTTGGATTTCTAGGGATATGCTATACATTGTTTAGCAGACCTTGTTTAGCCACCACTTCCATTTTTTAGAGAGTATCAGCTCTTGTAGTAGAGGAGAAAATCCTGCATAATAGAACCAGATGGGGACCCTTGGGCTTGAAGAACGCCAGCTCTTGTTGTGTAGCCTCAGCCTATTCACGGGCTTATCCAGTCCTCAGTTTCTGCTTCTTGAAAAGAGTGAGACTCAATTTCTTAGGACCTCCCCAGTGATGAGATTTTTAGAGTAAGAGTTGTGATATGGTAGACAAAATCTTTGCAGTCAGGAGAACTGGGTTATGTCCACAGGTCTGCCCCTCAAAAGCAGGGTCAACCCTGGGCACACCATTCCATCTGTCTGAGGGAGCATCAGCTTCTTCCAGAGGATGGACCCGGATGTCTCCACCCTGCCTGCCTCACTGGTTCATTGTGGGGGTGGAATGAGATGGAGTATGCAAAAACTATAAACTGTAACTCATCATATAAATATTTGCTGTTGCTAATAGACATTGAAACACATGGTGAACACCTTTAAAGGCATGCATACTTGACTGCATGGCAGTGCTGTGTAATTGGGAGTATAGGAGTCAAAGAGATGCAGACTGATATGAAAGTCAAGTTGGTCAATGAGGCTTAGAATCAGTGAGCTTCAGTCTAGCATCTCTCATGGAGCCTGTACTGATGGTGGTTCCCTCACAGGTGACAGCAGAGCTAGATGCCTGGAATGAGGACTTGCTCCGGCAGATGAATGACTTCAACACCGAGGATCTGACACTGGCAGAGCAGCGGCTGCAGCGCCACACGGAGCGGAAGCTGGCCATGAACAACATGACCTTTGAGGTCATCCAGCAGGGCCAGGATCTGCACCAGTACATCATGGAGGTCCAGGCCTCAGGTAGGTGACCTCTCCTCTTGTCCTGCCTCTGGCGGGGAGATGATGAAATCAAGAACACCAGCTTGATTCTAATGCTCTGTTCATTCATTTTATTCCCACAGATACAAAGAACAGAGATTTTTATGTTAAACCCCCATGTTAAAGAAAAAGAAAATGAAGCATGAGAACTGAAATAACTTTTCTCTGAGGTTACCCAGTTAGGCTCTGATAATGATGAGAACAGGGCCAGGGTCTCCAGTGCTGTGGAGAGAATGGGAAAACTAGCAATTTGCACAGATTCCAAAAACTGGTGGCCTAAAACGAACCAGTTGGGCTCCTAAAGCAGTCACCACCTGTGTGAATTGTATTCAAACAGTACCATTGCTTCTCCCCCTCCTTCCCCTCCACACACTTTCCCCTGCTGTGTCCTCCACCCCCAGGGCTGCCTCATGTCTCCAGACCCTGCCTCTCAGAATCCTCCAATTTTTATCACTTGTCTGTGTGTGAGTATAAGAAGTGCTGATAAAAATTTATGGCAAGGTCATATAATTTTATAACTTCTCAAAAAAGCATGGCTGAGTTATCCAGAGTTTATTTCTTTTCCTGCTCAGGATTTATTCACTATTTTTCCAGAAAATTTATGAGCCTTCACAGTTACACCTGCCACTCTCCAAAACAGCCTTTGATATTAGAACTGGAGAGAGCCATAGTGACCCACCTAGTCCAGAGGAAGAGAGGTCCCTCGTCTGAGCACATGCCAGGTCACTGCACCCAAACTCACCACATGCCCTGCCTGCCAGGTCCTCATCGGCTCAGTTTCCTCGCCCTCTGGGAGGAGGCAGACAGGGGCTCAGGTTATCAGCTCCTTAAAACGTGGTAGACCCATGTCCCTGTAGATCAGTAAAGGTATTTAGAAGGATGGGAAACTGTGATCCTTTTTCTGTGACCGAGAAACCTTCTCTGGACTCAGGGTTTCACCCTGTGGCTTGCCCTCATGACACTCACGGTAACCAGCTGTCCAGCTAAGAGAGAGAACCATGAAAAAATGCAGACACAGTTTCTGGGAGCTCAGCTGGGGCAGAGAAGCCCTGCAGGGATGTTCACCCTTCACCTCTCAGTACTGATGTGTCTGGCGGGAGGAAAACTTGCCTGCCTGGAAACCTGAGGCCCTTTGTACCAGGGTGCTGGCATGACCTTGGGCAAGCCCATCTCTGTCCTGAGAGCCAGGCACCCATGTAGTGGAAAGACTGCCAGGACCTGCTTGTGACTGGGAGTTAGCTGTGCTTAGCAGCTACCTTAACCTTGAGGGCTGAGTGGGTGAAAACAGCCCAGGCAGATGGGCTGCCCACCCCCACAGTGTCTTGTTCTAGAAAAGATGCCTGTTTGGCCTCCTCAGCCCTCTCTGCTGGGACTGGCTGTTCCCCTACTCCTTCCACAGCTAGCTATTCAGTCTACACAACCCAGAAGGCATCAAGGGGAAGGAAGCCAGGGGTTTGAGGGAAGCTCACTCCCGTCTGCTGATGAATGTCTGGTCCTGCAGAGGAGGAGTCTGTCTTGTCTGTGGTTTGGAGGAAGGCAAGGCAAAGTCACACAAGAGCTGGAGGGTGAGGGTGGAGGTGGGCCTTGCCCATGGGTGGCTGAGGAGTGCCAGACTTCAGAGACACAGGACTGAGTCAGTGAATGTCTTGGTTATTTATGATGGAAAAAACAGTTGTCTTAGAAAAAAAACAACTAGCAGAATTACAAATTAAGTTGGTATTTAGCCTCCATGCTAAATTAACTAAGGGCTTGTGTTCTGATTTTATAGGAGTAAATAGAAACAGGACTTGCATATGCTCATTTTCAGGTGTGAAGTTGGTGACACTGAATCAGGTTCTACTAAATCCCTCTGGAATGCCAACAGCCCTAACCAAAGCAAAAGCCTTTGGTTCAGTCAACAGCAATCTTATGAATAGAGGCAAAACAGGAATGATTTTCTCACTTGTTCACTGTTCTTTCCTCACTGTAGCATTATGGGTTTGAGCCTCAAGTTGAGAGGTAGCAGGTCTGCTGGTAAGAGTCAAGTCGAGGAAAACACTCTGGCTGAATTCAAGGTCCAGTTCCACCTCCAACCAGCAGTCTGACTTTGGAGGTCCTTTTTCTTTCCCATCAGACTGTAGTTTCATCTGCCTGGTATGGGAGGTAGGCCCTGATTTCCCAAGTCCCCCCGTTCCCACGTGCCGTACTTCAGCCTCGCCACACCCATCGGCTATGCCACAGGTGTGTCTGGTGAGACTGACGATGAGACTGTGAGACGTGACCTTAGGAGTAAGACAAAGCTGCGCATCCTGTGGATATGCTGCTTTTGTGGTTTAATCAAAGCCTCAAGCTCTTTGTGCAAGGCTTTTAAGTGAAAAATCTTTGGAGTCTGTGGCAATGATGCTTAATTTTACTATGCTTGAGAAGAACCCAACCCTAGCATTTGAAAATAAATTCTAAAAATAAATTAAGTTTTGTGGGGGTCATTCTTCTTGAGCATAGAGGTTAAGAGTACAGATAGGAGAGAGGAGGACTGCCGAGGTAGGCATCCCGGCCACACCTCTCACTACCTGGGCGTCCTGGAGTGTGTCACCCAGCCTCCCTAAGTCTTGTCTTTCTCTGGAAAATGGCAACATAATCTACCACCTAGGGTCATTGTGAGGATGCAGTGGGCTAATACACAAGCATAGTGAGGGGTCAGTAAAGCTTGGAAACTGTTCTATATTGTGCTCATGTTTTAGCATATACTGCATTCTGTTAGGATTGTGTTCCTGTAGCTTCTCCAGCAGCACAGGGTCAGGCCTCTTTCTCCATTCCCAGCATCTAGCAGAGTGGTTATGTCTTAACACAATGCAAATTCTCAGTAATAATCCTTGCTGAATTAATCAAGAATGAACATCAGTGTAGGTGGAACAAATGTAGGTAAAAGCAATTGTCCGCAAATAATTTTACGTATTTGTAAAAGGAAAGAAAAGGCCTGTGTTTTTCCAAAATGGGAGCTACTCAAGTGTTGATGGGAATGTGGATCTGGTGGCGGCTAAAGGATGGGAAGAGAACCTCATAGGAAAACAATGGTTCTCAGTCTGGCTGCATATTTAGAATAATCTGGAGAACAGCACCAAAGTCTGGGCCCCACTGCTCAGGGATTCTTACTTAATTAGTCTGAAGTGGACCCAAATTTGTTTAAATTTCCCAGGTGATATCAATGTACAACCAGGCTTGAGAACACTGATCTAAAAACCTGATTAAAGGACTTTGTAATTTCCGAAATGGGTGTTATATTGAGGGACTGACACAAAAAGAGGAGTGGGGAAGAGAAAAAATAAAAGACGTTCAGACACAAAAAAGGAAATAAAACAGACACAGATATTTAAAGAACATGAAAACAGTTAAGAAACATGTTACAAGGCCAGGCAGCATAGCCAGGAATACCTGAATCTTACCATAGACCACAGCCACTTCTCTGAGGGAATTAAAGAGGTACACTGGGCCTGGCAGCATGGTGATTTTTTAAGTTCTCCAGGAGAAGCTAATGTGAGCCAAGGTTGGCAGCACTGGTCCTGCAGTATCCAAACCACCATAGTTTCTAATGATACGCATTTAATAGGTACATAAATACCTGATGGTAAGCTTTTATATGTACAGTTATACAAGCTATGCAGCAGTCCCATTCAATCAGTAATCAGCAATGAATATATTATAATTTCACCAAAGGAAAGGAAAAAGTGGGAAAATGGATATTTTGGAGACTGCTAAATACCAAGCACTGTGTATACCTTATCTTACTTAGTCCTCACAATCCTTGGAGAAGCCTGGGATTGCTGGGATTCCCTTTTTATGCAAGCCCAGAGAGGACTCAGAGCCCAGGGACTCACTGTTCATAGGCGGCAGATCACGGATTCAGACTTTAGTCTGATCCTTCACAGAGCCCTCCATGATTTCCACTGCAACACATGACCTAAGCCCTTTCCTAAAGTGCCCCCTGTGTTCACTGCACAGGTATTTATTGAGTGTTATGAGTAAAGCACCATGCTAGGTCCTGAAGATGCAAAGAGGCATAGAGCAGATATAGTGCTGGCATCAGGGAATCTGCCTTCCCATGAGAACATGGACAAGTTAATAAGGAACCAACCTCAAAGGAAGTGTTCTGATGGAGGGATGGGTGCAGGACATTGTGGGGGCACATCAGAAAGAAACCTCTGTACAACTTTCTCTAAAGAGACTAACAAACTATTTCATTATGCGTAATTTCACTGCTTGGATTTTCCCAGAGCCAAGGATCTGAACAAGGCTGAATCAGAAATAGGTAGGCAATCGGAATCAAGAAACAATATGGGTCACAACTTGCATCAAGTTGGAGATAGATAGGAATCAAGAGGGCATAAGTGTAAGAAGGGAGAGAACTGAAAGTTTAAGAGTCAGAAATCAGGAAAGTCATGAGACTATGGAACAAAAATCAATGTTTATTATGTTGTGTGACAGATGCTTTACATGTACTATCTCATGTATCTTGTTTACATGCATTATCTTGCTGCATTTCTGAAGGCCCCTAAGGAAGACAGGGCTATGATTAGCGTGAGAGTAGTAATATCAACACAAGCAAACTGTTTGTTGTGGATTGATGGATACTTACCAGTGGATGGGTTTTAACTGGGCCTTGTGTCCATATGTTTGGGGTGGTGGGGAAGAGGCGTGAGTTTATTTTCTTCAAGAAGCTGCTGGAGTTAAGTTTTTTTGTTCCTCCCATCCACCCAGTCCACAGCACGATGTGTTGTTGAGGAGTGGAGAAGTGTAGCATGCAACGCCTTTGCCCATTTTATTTCCTATGTTCATCTCACATAAAACAGTATCAAGCAAAATAAATGAAATGAGGGTTTGAGTCTCAGGGCAGGCTGGAGCCTGTTCTGGGTGATGTTCTCATCAGGTGGCTGGCTGCTTTGATGAGCTGCTGTGCTTAGAGAGCCCGTTTACCTGCAGTGTGCAAGAGGTAAGCCATGAGCTTCCCTTAGAAAGACACTTTGTCCAGGCTCAGCATACTAAATAGCAGAGAAACATGCAGAATGAAACTCACTGGAAAAAATCTGCACTGTGGTGAGAAGCAGGGAAGAACTTCTACTTGTGCAGATGGATTTTAAATTATGTTTCCAGAAAGTAAATACATGGGGGTCAAGGGTCATCCCTCTATGCCAAACCCTGCACAGATATAGAACTTTTTATATTTCTCCTTCTTATTTTTTTTATTTCAGTCAGGAAGATGCTCTACCTTGTCCCCTTGGGAATTGAAAATAGTAACCAGAGGGTGTTGACTGCCAAAAGAACAAGCTGTTCTTTTCTCTGTCTTCCACAGATATTTCAGGAACTGGGACTTAAAATTATGAAACTGACAGAAAAAATAAACATGAAAAGATACTGAAATGATTACTGGGTAACACCAGAAAAAAACTTCTCCACTCTCCCATATTGTCCTTATATAAATGCTATTTTTGCTTCTAGAAATGAATTTCCCTTAATGTTACAGACTCCTTACACTCCCCCGACTGTATCTGGCGGTATGTTTGTGGTGACAGTGCTGGTATAAGTCAGTGTGATGGGAAAGTCTCCCAAAGGAGATTTATTTTTAGATGGCCATACATTGAGATTGGTGGTCTCCTTTGGTTATGGTGTGCACAGAAGTACAGTACCCTTCAGTGACTTATCTGCTGGGTTTTTTAGTCTGAACCACATTTTTGGTTGGGTCCCTGTTCATCAGCATCAGGACCACAATTGCATTGGGTCATAGATTACAAAATAAGGAGGCAGGGAAAGATCTGGATAGAACTAAGAAGCTGCAGAGCCAGGTAGAGTCAGGGAACAGAAGGAGGCAAGTAATCCAGAGTTAGGATTTCCCCAAAGTCAAGGATCTGGGCAAGGCTGAGTCAGAAACAGGTAGGCAGTAGGAAGCAAGAAACAGTATGGGTTACAACTTGCATCAAGTTGGAGGTAGATAGGAATCAGGAGGGCATAAGTGTAAGAAGGGAAAAAACTGAAAGTTTAAGAGTCAGAAATCAGAAAAGTCATGAGACTATGGAACAAAGATCAGTGCCTCCCAACAAGCTGCTGAGGGTAGAGAGGTTATGAGGTAGGGAGGTATGCAAAATCCTATTTTACGTATCAGGAAAGTAAGGCTTCTAGACCTTAGGTAACTTGTTAGGTATCTAAGTTCAAGATACTGACTCAGGACTGGGTCCAAAGCCAGTACAATTTCTATGTAGTCTTTGAGAGCTAAGTAAGAATCAAATTCAAGTCATTAGCAGAGAGAAGGACTTTAATAACTCATGGCTGATTAGTGACCCTTCCTGAAGCACAAATCTATTTGAGGAAGGCTACTTAGGCCTGCTGGTGATAACACACACATAGAAACACTGGCTTGGTGAAGAGAGAGCGTATGTGCACACCCATGCTTGGGTGTGGGAAGAGGTATACAGAAAAGGTAAGCTAGGTGGGGAGAGGTAGACAAGGAGTGGAGCCACAACTTCTGCCTGGTGGGCATTGACTCAAGGATCCCATCACAGGCCACATGGTTGGCAGTTTATTAATGCTGGGTGGGTTATCCATAAACACTGAAAATCCATGTCAGTGATGGACTGGGCTTTCTAATTGCTCTGAATCAGTAGAAGGACAATGAATGAACTCCCCTTGTGTGGCAAAACTTTAATGTGGTGGCTTTTCTAAATGGATAAGCACTCTGTTCCCTGTGGTATGTCTGGGATATGTTTAGCAGGTATGTTTGCCTATGTTTGATATACTGTCTTGCCAATAGGTTTCAGCCCAGGCAATTTCACTCTTGATTCAGTGAGACTGAAAAATGACAATGGAATGTTCTTGGGGTGAAATGGTTTGTACTCAGCTCTATTCCTATGGTGGCAGGTCAAAGGATAGAATCCCATTCACCTCAGAGCAGGTCTGTATGCAGCAGCTGGTCTCTGCCTCTGGGCCTCTCTGCACCCACAGCTGTCTCTGTCCTCAGCACTGCCACCACTCCAGCCTCTACTCTCCTGCAGCTGTGCAGCTCAGAGCACTGGGTGGAGCTCTTTATATAGAGTCAATAGCAACGTACTACCCACATGTGTGTATGAGCAAGCCGACTATGGCCAGGTGAGAATCCTGACCATAGGAACTTCACTTTCTCGACATATACAATGTATGAGAGCTAGCATTCATTTCTAAGAGTTGTTTTTTAGGGATCCTAAATATTTGGCTAATAAAATCACCACTGCCCTACCACTCTTATCAGAATGGACTTGCCATCTAATGGTAAATTGCATCTGACCAGCTAAAAGAGTGTGTTTGGCAGAAGTTCCTGAGACAGGGTATTTCTGGTTTTGTTTTGTGTTTCCCAGTATGATCCAGAGGATTACTTGTGAATATCTTAGGTGTTGGCAAATGGGGTAGAATTCCAGAGAACCACCTCTCTCTCTAATTCCAACTGATAATAGGGAACTAATTTATTGAAAAGTTACTTCAGGCAAAGGGTCTGTTAGTCCAAAAGAGATGGTGTGGTTGGAGCATCCCAAACAAAGACCCATTATGACAGTCTGTCCAGTTTCACAGAGGCATATATAGAGGTTGGGAGGGTGCTGATAATAACTTTTTACAAATCCTAGCTTTCATATGCATATTGAAGGAAATGTAGTTTTTATTGTACTATCTGGCTTTTAATTGTTTATATTTTTTAAAATCAGGAATTGAGTTAATCTGTGAGAAAGACATTGATCTAGCAGCCCAGGTGCAAGAGCTACTGGAGTTTCTCCATGAGAAGCAGCATGAATTAGAGCTCAACGCAGAGCAGACCCACAAGCGGCTCGAGCAGTGCCTCCAGCTGCGGCACCTCCAGGCCGAGGTGAAACAGGTGAGCCTGGCCCTTCTGCCTTCCACCTTTGGCCTGGGCTTCACAGCTGTCCTGGTCCTGTCCTGAATCAACTTAAGGTCTACAGAGCCACCATTATAACCAGAACTTGGAAAATAGGTAAGTTAAGGAGCAGTTGTATTAGTTTCTGAAGAGAAACTACTATCTATTGGACCTAACAAATAGATCTAATGATACAATGGTGCAAACAACAAATGCATTATTTATCTGTCATAACAATCCAAAGAGAGCATTCCAGAGCTTTCCCAAGTTGTCCTCAGTCACTGAACCTATTCTCTTCCTTTCTGTTCTCAATCCTGGCACACAGTTCACGGGAAATACAAGTCCTTTATCAATAAACATATTCAGGCTTTAGAGTCAGAATAGCTGACTGGGGCATCTGTGTGCCCAGTGCAGGGCACATAGTTGACAGTCAGTAAGTGGTAGTAGTAGTCTGTGGTTCTTATTAGAAAATTTTCTTGCCATATTAAAGTTATTTTTGAAAAGAAAAATGTTCTTATCTGCGTGAGACATTTACTTGCCATTTTACCAAAGGACATACCCAGATCTCTAGAAACTTCTTGGAACAAACACTCAATAACCAGTGGCACATTTTAAAAATATTACATTTTTATTATGAACAGACTATGTTATTCTTATTATTAGTGTAATGAATAGAGATTTCATGTGAGGTTGAAGAAAAACAAATACTGTAATAGTTTGACTTATTGAATGCTATGTACCTTTCACGCCCATCTCTCCATCAGTCCTCACAATGATTCTCTGAAGCAACTATTATTCCTCTTTGACAGATGAGACCACTGAAGCTTAGAGAGGTCATCAGACAATGGTAAGACTGAGGAGAGAGCATGTCACCACCCTCCGCAGGTCCAGAAGGGAGTCCGGCAGGGCAGGCTCCAGAGCAGTTCTGTGGTTGCTCCTACTGCCCCACACTCTCCCAAGCCACCCAGCCCCTGCTTCCTCTATGCAGAGCCCCACCCAGAACATCCTAAGCAGAGAAACTTCGTCCTCTTCTAAGTATTTTTTTTTAAGTTCAGTGGCCATCACAATGTCTTGTTTAAGTGTATTAATTTAGCACTGGGGACAAAAACATCATATTTTATTTTATTTTGTATTTAATTTTACTTAATTAATTGCTTTTTTTAAATTTAGTTATTGCTTGTTCCCACAGTATCCATTGTTAATGTCTATGTCTTGGTTATTATATTGTTATTTATTATAATTAGCAAAATTATCTTCCCCACTACCTTTCTCTTCAGTCAGTGCTCAGCCTGAGCCTGTACATGCTATGCCAAAGATCTGTCTTCACTGCTGGTGAAGTCATTGAGCCCCAAGCAAGGCCAGATCACAGAGCTGCCACCAGATTGTTTCCCCTTTAATTTCACTGGAAGCACAGCTGAATCTCTGGTAAATGCTATTCCTGGAGACATGGTAGAATCCTAACAGGCCCAGAACAGTGATGAGTATACAAATTCTGAGACTCTTGGCAGTGGTGACAGTACTTTCTTTTCATTTGAGAAGTGCTTTCTCATTTGTGGTCTCGTTTTAAGAACAGAGGCCCTTGAGGAAAAGTGGTGTATGTTTATTTTGCAAATGAATAAACTGAGATAGCATTGGATTAATGCTCCCAGGGCCTCTTGACAAGTCAGTTGAAACTTGAGCCTAGGCCTCCTATATCCAAGATCCTACAATTTGCCCCTTTTGGGCCCCACTCCCACCTTGGCATTCTAGGAGAAATAGAAAGAAGCCCTCCAGCAGAAGAGTCTGGGATTTTCCTGGTCTCCATAGCACCACACCTGAGAAAACAAGCATATGCAGGGCAGAGAGGGTGGCACCTGCCTGATTGGTCAGCCAGCCCCAAAAGGTCCTAAAGTTCTCCTCTGCTATTCATAGTCATTTATTTCTGCCAGCAGAAGGTGGTGGAAGTGATCATGTGAACAAAACAGATAACAGGAAAATCATTCTTATTTAACTTTGAAATGAAATGCATTAATTTTGTTTCTGATTTTTAATTTTGCTTATTTTTTGTTTCAGCACTAACAGTAGAGTCAATTCCCTAATAATGTTTTTCTTGACTGATATGAAAAAGAAATGTGTTTTCATCCTCCAAGTATATATTCTGTATAGGTTAGGGAAGCGGGATCATGATGAGTAATTTGTCAAATGGGGAAGCAAATTGTCTGTAAGTCAATAATCCAGGCTTGACTAATATCTGCATACAGTCTCATTCTGTACTTCCTGAGTTGGAGGACAAACAAGGAATTCTTCTGCAGGGGGGAGAAAATTCCTGCTCCCCACCATGGCAGGAATGACACAGTATGTGATTCAAAACGGCACTGGACTGCTTGAGTCGGACTTTAGGAAACCCATGAAGGCCTTTGCAAAGGACAGCAGCCCTTGGAGGCACCAAGGGACTGCTGCCTGGTTAAGCCACCATGCCTCATTAGACAGACTTGTTTCCTTGTCAGTGTAGGGCACTTTCTTGGAGAGTCATCCAAGAAGGCATTTGTGTTTGATGGAAGTTTGTGGAGCAGGAAATATTGATTTGGAAGCCATTGACACTTAGAAAGAGGGAGTTAATTTAGATGTCAGTATTGATCAGCAGGGCTACATTTAGACACTAGATTGAGAGTTTCTCTTTTGAATATACTCTCAAAAAAAAGAAAGAAAGAAAAAGAAGGAAAAGGACACCTTAACTGAAATGCTGTTAGTGGGGACAGAAAGGGAGAGAACAATGTGTTGTTACACTGTTCTGTTATTAGAGCTCAAAGATTAAAGGTTTAGATTTGGCACCACAACCTTATGTGTAGTTACACCACAATTATACCAAACCAGAGCTTCGAGGAGAGGGGATGCCACAGACATTAGACTGAAAATTATTTTCAAGTATTTAAAACAAATGAAATTGATTAATGCCACTGATTTTCTTTCTGAAGGATTACATAGACTTTGTATCTAACAAAAACGGCCCAAACACTTCTGGAAAAATGTTAACTCTTGAAGGGAAACTACTACCCTCATTACAGCCCATGGTCCAGGGCCCTAAACCAACCAGATGTCCCCTTTCCTTTGGAAAAAGTCATTCCCCAGATACCACAGAATGTTGTGGTTGCTTTTCACGAAAAGTATTAATTTGGTAAAGATGACCTCACATTTATCAGATAACTCAAGATTTGAAAAACCTACTTAATGGGCATAAAACTAAATGAATTTCCATATGCATTCTTGGAAAGCAGTACATTTAGCAAAAAATAGACCAAAATAGATTTATGAAATGTTTGGGCTCTAAATTATGGGGAAAGAAATCATTCTTATTTGTCTAGTAAAGACACTGACTTAAATTACCCCTGTGAACCAAATACTGGCCAAAATTGCATATGATCAAGATGGACATTCAAAACGAAGGAGAAAATACTATCCTGTTCTCATATTCTTGTCATGAATAGTGTGTTAACTTCTGTTCACCGCACAGCAAAGTAAAAGAGGAGTTGAAGTAAATCCAAAAGACAGCCACCAAAGCGACAGGTACTATCCATTTGTTTCAAAATGGAGATAATTACAAAGACACGTGGTCACAGTCTATAAAACCGTGAAGGATGAACATGTATAATCTCATAAACTATGAATCTTTAGAACTAAGAGACACTGGAAATATGACAAGTTCCCAGTTAACCATCTCAGGAGCTGATGAATTTTCCCGTGGTTACGCGGCTAGAACCTCCTAAAGGACTGTGCCCTGCGATAGGTCACCTGCAATAGCAAAGCCTTAGAGTCAGCAGCCTTGAGTGCAGCCTCATAGCTTTATTGTCAGTATGACCTAGAGAACACAGCCATATATACAAGAAGCTTCTCGGCCTATGTGGTTACAGGGTCCAGCTTGCCCAGCTTAGACGGGATCACCATTTTGTGGACACCCACATCCAGTTTATCAAATTCAGTCTTCTCCTAACGCCGGGTTATCTGAGCTTCCTTGGCCTGAGGAAGCAACAGATCTCCATTTTCAATTCCTCCTGTCAGTTTAGACTGAGCTGAATTCTTAGCCTAGCTCCTAAATCTTCAAGTAGCAATACTCTTTAAGGCCCTTGTTTGTACAAAATTAACTCTTTCTGATAGCCTATGGTTGTAGGGACAATCTCTGCATTTTAAAAGAAGTATGCAATGTTAGGGTTCAAAGTAACCTTCAAAGATTCATCCAACCTGTAGATAAACCATTGCCTAAAATGTTGACCAACAAAAATCAACATTGCTCCATTTACGGATTGCGTTTTATGGTTTGCAAAATACATCTACATTTATTATTTCATGTCATCTTTACTCTGTGACTTACGCAAAATGTTACCATTTTATAGAGGGGAAAACTAAGCCTCAGAGAGATTAGATAATATTTCTGAAGTCACACAGCTCAAGATAAAGAACCAACATTTTCTCATTTTGCTCCAATATTTCTTTTACCTTGCACTCACTCGGATGCTTACAGAGGGATAAATAACCAATTTTATGAGCCATAAAGATGAAGGGCTGCATTAATAGAAAATGATACCAAGAGTTGTCATTGACCAAAGTACAAAGAATGTTGATAACAAAACAGCTAAGGGATCCACATCACATTAGAAAATGACAAATAAGCTCTAGAAATACTGCAACAAAAAATAGTAATCTTAAAATTTTTTTCTTCTTATTATAAATGGTATAAATGAAGAAGCATAGTGTTACCTAGCTTTGCTCCAAAAACTAAAAACCACTACCACTGCCATCATCAGACTTACATTTTATGGCAAGTTACATCAACCCTGAGAAAGGGAAGGTAGTGTTATCTTAACTTTACAGATGAGAAAACTGAGGCTCAGAGGGACTAAGTGGTTTTACCAGATAGTAACAAAGCCAGGTGTCCTGACCTCAGATTTTGTGCTCTTTCTACACTAACCCAGTTCTGCTTCTAGGACCAACTCAGTCACAGCAATCAGTCCCACCTCTGAAACTAAGCCATGGATATAAACTATCATGCATTTTTATCTTCCTAAAGTCAAATCTCCCACTTGGAAGTCCTGGAATGCCTTATAATAAACAACATTTGGGAAATAAAAATGAACGAGGGTATCAAGGATAGGGATATGGCTTGATTTTAATGGAAGATACACAGTCTAAAGCTTATAATATTTCTAAATGGAAAAGCAGATCAATGGGGATCCCTATCACCCTGTCACCATTGCTGTAACTAATGTTTCCAACTGAGACTAGAAGAAAAATATTCCAGCAAGACTCAGGAGGCCCAGGGGGAGTCAGATTGCCCCTCAAGCATTGATTTGTGCTGCACATGGAGAGAATGTTCCTGACACCCTCAAATGAATCTTGAAACAAGCAAAATGCAATGAATAATGGCAGAAGGAATTACATAGTACAAAAGTGTACATTATGAGCTCCATTTTCCAGAGATGAAGCACATGGGCATGCAGGTCATCTATGCATGTGCCCAAACTTATAGGCAGCTTTTGGAAATCATTAGCACTTCTAGCCAGAGAGCCACAGTACAGCACTGGCATCAGAGATTTCACACATACACTGAAATTGATTCTAAAGGGAGTGATTGCGGTTATTTCCTGCAACTAATTGCTTTACAGCTTGGCATCTCACCCTCAATCTGCTAGACTGGCCATGAATTAACATCTCCATCCAAACAGCCCAGCTTCAGCGGGATTTATGCCCTGTTATCTATGCACAATATTTCATCAGTCATTTCCTACCCAAGGAGGATATTTGACAAATGCCTGTGAAGATCATGGAAAAAGAGACCAGGCTTAGTAGTTTCCAAATTGTTCAAAGTGAAGAAGTTGAGAGGAACAAAATATCTGAAAAAATCTGTAACAGATTGTAATGTCCTCCTTTGCCTCGAGGTAATGGATGGTATTTACTGATCTTGAAATTTCAGAAGACTCTTTATTTCCTTCTCAAACTCTCAGATACCCTCATAAAGGAAAGATTTGGCAATTTTCTGGTGACAAGACACAAGATAGATTTTCAAGGCTTAGTCCTTCCAGTTTGATTATTTATGCTCAACTCTATTAGCTGGAAAATTGCCACATCTCCGTTTCACCAAGACTGGACAGTGGGAGCAGTTTACCTTCTATCCTGATATTCTTTCCTGAATTTTCTTTCCTCCAGTACTAGTTAAGGTCACCTAAAAATTTTATTCAGCCTAGCCATAACCTCTAAATAATTTAATCAATTATAATTACTCTCCTTTTTTCTGATGATGCGGTGTATGGGTTATTCATGCTATTTTGCTTGCTTTCTCCTTCTTTTTTCCTTTGGACTGTTTATCTACCAAACTCAAACCTGTCTACTCTTGGCTGTTTCACAAGGCTTAGGAGATTGGACCCACTGCTGAGGAGTGATATGGGTATTCTCCAGAGATAATTGTTCACTCTTTCAAAAATATCACTGCATACCCATCAGATGCAAGATACTGTTCTAGGTACTGTGTAAAGGTAAAATATGAAAAATATTTTGCCCTAGGTTTCCAGAAGTTTACATTTTAAGTGGGGGTGGGGGATGGAAAACAGGTCAAAATAACTAAACAAAGCAGTCTGTGAGTGCCACAAGGGTCGTTTATGCAAAATGGTATGGTTGTACTAGATGAAGAAGAAATTGTTTTTAATAAAAATGATTAGGTATGGAAGATTTCAAGAAGTTGTTATTTGAACTGGGCCTTTAAAGAAGGAAAAGAGTACCATCAGATGGAATTTACTTATTTATACCATTCTATATTCTAGAAAGAACCTCAGAAACACACACACAATACAGTCAGATAATGTTTAAATTAAGTGGTTGAAGAAATTGGGACTCAGGTAATAAGGGTAGGAAAGAATATATGAAGCTGGGAATTAGGTTGGTACTTAAGAGTTAGCACTTTATAACACAAGATGCCAGGTAAGATCGCAAAGATGACCATTTTAATTACCCAGAGCCTTCCTGTCTTCTCTCCAGCTGTCTGTAGAAGATAGTGAGTTCTCTGGCTGAAGGACCCACCAGAGAAGGCAACAGCTCTTGGGAAGCCACAAAGGCCATTCACCTATATTCTTGTCCCAACTCCCTAGGTCCTGGGATGGATCCGCAATGGAGAATCGATGCTCAACGCCAGCCTGGTCAATGCCAGCTCTTTGTCTGAAGCAGAGCAGCTGCAGCGGGAACACGAGCAGTTCCAACTGGCCATCGAGGTAACACCCAAATCTGACTACAGTTTCTTCCCTTCCCCTCTCTGCTCCGCACATCAGTGAGAGTAATTTTTCAATATGTAGACATGAATTAGGTAGTAAAGCTCTTACTCTTTCTAGTGAAATCATCCAGGTTGTCTCCCTATTACCCAAGAATTGATGGAGAAGCAAATACAGGGATTATCACCCAAGGAGGCCTGAAATTAGAAGACAAGTATTTATAATACAAATGTAGGTCTTGGTTGTTCATTGGTACCTTTAAGGTCTCTGGTACATTGAGTTTTTTGTGAATTACGAACTATGCATCATGTAAGAAATGTAAAGCGGAAAGGTTAGAAGTCATTTCCAATTTAAGGATCACTCAGAATTGAGGGCAGACAAGTGCAAAAGTCAGTAAAAGCTGGGATTCCATTTTAAACATTTGATTTACATGTAATGTTTACATTGCATTGTTAAATTCTGCCTTTTAACAAGAACAGTAAGCTTTGGAGCAGATTGTAGTAGATAATTTGCCTCACTAAGAGTAGAGTAGTTGTTCACTGATGCTGATAGAAGTCATATTTCATGAATAAAAGTTCACCGACTAAGACTTGTTTAAAGACTCTTAAAAATAACACTCCTGTTACAATAATCTACATTTTGCCTTGCTTTAAATAACACCTTTAATAATCTCTTTTACTAGAATATTCTCCTTCCCAAAGAGACTTGAGCTGATTGCTTTAGAATGGTGTGGGGAAAAGAGGAAATAGGATGTGGGAACTATATTAAAAATAAAATAAGTTCAGTACCAATGGGAAAAAAGTGAAAACTTAAAAGACATTCATTCTTGTAATTTAGTTTAAAACTCAACCCACTTCTGAGTGTGTAAGAAATGCAAAGGTGTTATCTTCTACTAAAAAAATGATTGTCAATGAGAGTTTTCCAAAACAATGATAAAATTTTAACTGTCCATGTCCATAAGTATATCTTTAATCCAACAGGTTGATAGATACTTTAAAACTAGTATTGACTGATTTCAATCATTTAATTTCCCAGGTGCCCTCTTGTATGTATAAAAATAACATTAACATAAATGCCATAGTGCTATAAGATGTCTGATATCTTCTTAGGAACCATTACTAGTACTAGAATATTGTCTGGGATTTGAGATTTAAAAACAAACTGTAGATTGCACACACAGTATGGGCAAATCATTTTCTACAGAGGAGCTAACCAGAAGAAAGAAGTTTGATTATCATTAGCTGTCTCTGTCACAGTTTACTGGTATGCCCAAAGATCAGAATGTTAGGATCTACTCACTGTAAAGGAAAAGTCAGAATTGGGGTCACAGTCAAAAATCAGGCTCACAGTGGTCATGGTCCCCCAGAGAGGCAGTACAAAGAGGACAAAGGTTGGTCAGTGAGACTAGAGGCATGGCATGCATGAAGCTGTGAGGGATGCTCAGCAAAGAGAAGATAGCTCTTGGCCATACCTCCTCCTCATTCGTCTCGAATGTGAAGGTTTGCCTGCCCTGTCAGGTAATTGAATTTCCAGTCCCTTAATTAGATGTTTGGCAAGTAAAACCAAGTGTCATGACACACTTGAACATTTCAAAGAGCTAGTAGAATAGTGGGTAAATGCATTAACAGTGCTAATGAAATGAATAAATTCAAGGTGACTTGCATATGCAGTTTGTATTAATTTATAATAAATGCTATTGCGTCCGTACAGAATAGAAGTTCACTCAACATATCTGTCTCTTAATTACATGGGTGCAACTTGATCATATATTCTTGAAACTGATGTTGAGATATAGGCCCCTGTTGAGTTTATGTCTATGGTCTTAAGAGGACATGGCAGAGCAGAGAGGATTTCTGGAAGATCTTGGGAATAAAATGTAGGTAGGGTCAGCAGCATGGCTAGAATAGTAAGAGAACAAAACCAGAATTTCACATATACTTCTCCAGGTAGCAGTGTGTTTTTCTCTGAATGTGTCAATGTAGACCAGGTTCTGTATTAGGGGAAAACATGCCTGGAAGGATTTAAGTAATTCAAGGGGGATCTAACTAGTCTGGTTTGTCTTAACCCATTTTGATGGTATTATAGGAGGGCCTTTACAATGATTGCTGATAGGACCATAATTTGACTTCTTGGACCCTAAGAAAAAACCCTGGGTTCTAAAAGGGAAAATAATATAGCAGTTGATAAGTGGATTATATAATTTATTTTAAAACTGAGACAGGAGTGAAGGAGGGGATTATTAATAACTAAGCCAGAAAAATAAACATATACTAGAATGGTCATGGACAAACCAGGATATCTGCTCACCCTAATTTGGGTGGTCTCATCAGTTTGCAGGGTTTGGTCTCTTCCAAAGAAGGTTAGAACTTTGACCTGAAGCAGGCTTGGCTTCAGGAAAACTTCCCCACAGCCACTGAGAATAGAGAGCAGTGCACAGCACCCAGAGGCATAGTTTTATTAACAGACCCAGCTTATTACTTGTTACTATCCAAGATGTTGTGGCTGAAGTGTCTTTAAGAACTGTGAACATCATAGAGACAAGCTCGATACTGAAATCCATTTTATTTGAAATCCTCTTAATGCCTTTTAAGCATAAGCATTATGGCAGAAAAAGTAGTTAAGAACCAGATAATAAATTCAATTGATTTGGTTCAACTTCCTTCCATGTACTCCTACAAAATATTAACACCCTTGATAATCATGCCTTAAAGATATAGCTCTCAAGAGGATTAGATGATAGAGAACAGAAAGAAATGCAAAATAATGACTCAAGCTTAGCAAGCAAAGATTGTGTCATAGATGCGTAAGAGTGTATCATTTTGGAAGTTAAAGGGGACAGAGTTCTGATGACAGTGAGTTTCAGAATAAGGGAAAGGATTTCTTACATAGAACAAAGTGTAGGAAAATTAAAATTAAGATTCCTTCACTATCAGAAAAAAAGTAGTAATGGGTTTATGATGGCAATTATATATTGCTTTCATATATTAGGAGAGGCCATATAATTACCACAATCACCAATGTTTATTCGGTGAACCCCTCCTCTAAATGAGATACTGTAGGTATTAAAATACTGTTTTAATTGCCAGAGATAAAATGATGTGGTATGATATGGTGGAAAGAACATAGATTTGGGAATAGGTAAAACTTGAATTTTATTCCTGGTTTCATTGGTACCTTGGTTGTACCTTTTTGGGACAAGTCACTCAGCCAACCCTAGCCTCAGTTTCTTAACCTGTAAAGTAGGGATAATTATATCCACCTTGTAGTAGATCATAAGAACTAGAAAAAAAGATACACACAGTGCTTGGCACAGAGAAACCCTTGGACAAATGGCAGCTATTAAAGGGATTTTTAAAGCAGTCCTGGCCTTGAGGGTTTCACAGTGTAAGTAGGGAGAATCAGCAAAGTCAGGAGCTCAGAAGATAGATATCAGTGAGTCTCAATTTGTCCAAAAGACTTTTTTGAAGGAGGCCAGACTTGGGCTGAGTCTCAGAGAAAGTCTGAAATATAAATGGGAAGAAAGTAAGACAGGAAGAATGAAAGTAGCAGAAACAAAAAAGTGAGTGGTGTGTTTTCAAAGGGTTTCTGTAAGCAAATAGTGTGATAGTTTGGGACTGCATTGTGAGGGACTCTAATGACATCATCCTAAGTCACTCAGTTTCACATCAGTGGGGAAACTGCTGAAGGCATTTGAACTGAGAGATGGGAGTGATATTTATAGCATAAAATTAGGATTTTAGAGCTGGAAAGGATGTTAGGAGTCACTTAATCCAAGCACTTCCTATTATAGAGAATTAAATTAACTTCAGAAGTGGAAGAGGTGGGTTGATAGATTAGAAGTGGCAGGCATGGACACTAGCTAAGGGAACACCACAAAGTCTAGTATGAAGGGGTGAGGGCTGGACTCAGAGTCAGGGTGAGAACCAGCAGTCAAGGGCAATGTCAAGACTGTCACTCCCAGTGGCAGCAAGGAGGCCATCGCCAGCACAGTAGTAGACTGCTGTGGGAGGACACGTTAGTGGGAGGAGTTTTGTTTTAGACGTTCACCTGGAGGCACTGTCTGGGAGGAAATTGGAGGCCTCTGAGAGGGCAGGAAGGCCATTCACATTCTCTGGTGAGGGCTCCTCCTCTCTCCAGGAAGAGCTTCCATTTCTTTTATTGAGACTGCCTCTTTGTAAGTGACTAACCATGGGGCAGATGGTTAGACCAGCTGAATCAGTGCTGCTGACCTGGAGGAGAGGGGTGGCAGGCAGCTCACACATCCAAAGACAATTAAAGATGAGAGTCAGATGTAGAAGGAGAGCTGCAGACTGGGGAATCATCTACAAAGAAGAGATGATAGAAGCTGAGGGAATGGATGAGAGCTCTGCAGAAATGAACAAAAGCCAAGAATAGACCTTGGAGTACCTGTACATTTAGGAGATAGGAAAAGAAAACAATGCCAATAAATAAAACAGAGAAAGAAACCAGGGATTTGTAGTGGATCCTTTCTGCCCTTTGGTTCACCTCTTCTAGCTATAGTCAGCATTTAGGAACCCATAAAATGATGTGGTCATGAGGATTAAGGGCTGACTCAGTGGGAAAGCGAGGGAATAAAGAGTCTAGATTGCTAGAGGATGTCACGCTAACATAGCTAACACTGAGTGCATATTCAGGGGAGAGGAAGGGAAGCCAGGAGGTGATCAATAGACTGGGAAAATAAATAGGACTGCATAGACTGTAGTATGGGATGAAGTGAGGACAGGGCGGAGGTGAAAAAAGGGAGGTTGCACTCACACACAGGGAGTGCTGAGTAGATCAACTCTTGGGAACTGACCTGGCCCTGATGCCAAAGAAGGGCAGAAATAATCCTGGAGTAAGTTATTGGGCTGCTAGCTGTCCCTTTTCACTGCTAAGCTAGAACTCTCCTTAAAGTACAAAGGCCAAATTAGTACCACACTATTGGGTTGAAATGATCCCAGCAGTGGAGGTTGGGATAATATAAGCTCTTTGAAGTTGTATAG